TTAATAGCAATCAAAAGTGGGTGAAATATAAAATGGAGAGAAATTCTTTGATGAAATCCAACCCTCTTTCTTGGTCAAAGCTGTACAGCCAATAGAACTAGAGGGAGGGAACATGTGTCCATCTCATAAAAAAAGAAAAAAGGCTAGAATCTCACTGTGAGCGTAAAAGATGAAAATGTTACAGCTGACACCATCCAGTCTCAAGTTAGAAAAACTTGAAACGATGCAACAGGAGACAGACAGTTTCCCAATGAACTCTTGCTATTCTTGCTATTCTCCTGGGGAAGTTTTATTCCTGAGGGTTTTTTTTTTTTTGATTTTTTTGATTTTTTGAGACAGGGTTTCTCTGTAGCTTTGGAGCCTGTCCTGGCACTAGCTCTTCTAGACCAGGCTGGCCTCGAACTCACAGAGATCCACCTGCCTCTGCCTCTCAAGTGCTGGGATTAAAGGCGTGCGCCACCACCGCCTGGCTCTGAGGGTTTTTGGAACAACTAAAATCCCTCTTATCTTTTTGTTTTGTTTTGTTTTCCATGCCCCCTCAGAGGACACCTGGATGTTTTTTAAGGATTTGGTTTTATTTTATTTAAGTATTTTGTTCCTCAGACATAACTCTGAAAACACTAATACGTAATAGCCAGTTTCTATTCAGTTCAGTTCAGATTTTTACCAAAACCTCCTGTCTGGCATGTCTCTGTCTTTGTTGAGTTCCTGTACTTACAGAAGCCAAGAGATAGCTGGCAGCCATCCATTGAAAATGCCCTCTCCCTTTGAACACGGCCCTCCTTTGGTCTGAGTTTCTCACACAGCTCTGATGATGCAGGAGGATGCCAAGGGCCCAGTTGGTGCCTCAGCCCGATGCCTGCATCTGTGCCTTGGCAGCAGCTATTCATGTCTTGCCACTCAGAGTCAAATTCCCTTAAGTTTAGCCTTCCCTAAGTGCTTGTTCACTTCAGAGGACTCAACCCTCATCTTCCGTGTCCTCCTGGCCTAATTTCTCATATTACTGATTTACTGAGTATGAATCAGTAATATGAGATGTTCCGGAGAGGGAGGAAGGGACATTCATGAAAAAAGTGAGTGTTCAACTAACTAACTCCCCATGGGTGAAGGAAGTAGTGAAAAGATTTTAATGAAGCAGAGAGAAATTTCTGGTTTTGGAAGGAGGAAATCCTGAATGGCTCCCTCTGTGTCGCAGGAGAGACTCCTGGGAAGGAAACCTCAGGTTCCGGTCAGTCGGTCGGTTGGTCAGTTCGGGGAGAAATATTAGCAAGGAGGTAAAGGCCGTGCCTCACGACATCAGCAGTCCCTTCTCTGGAAATTCTACGGTATCCCGGAGAGCTCTCGGAATTTTGTGATGTCACTTGTGTCCTAGAAACGCCAAGTGCCCTCAAGATACACTCTCTCGGTGCCTATAAGACTCAGTTCTAGACATGTTGTCTAGAGAATGGAGATCATGGAGAGGCCAGAGGGAGGAAGAAGAAAGCTGACCTCAGATCTCAGAGGAAAACACGGAGAAATAATTAGTGGTCCTGGGGAAGACGAAGTGAGTTCACCACTAGCAGGGACTAGAGAGATTTCTGGATGTGATGGCTTTGAGACTTCCAGGGCTAGGGCTCAGGAACTGGGAGGTTTCTGGAATGAAATAGGTCTGTCTTGTTTCTCTGAGTTCCTAAAGGGCCAACCCACATCAAAGATTCACAATAGTTGATTTGACAAAGTCGGGAATTGACAAGGAGTGGGGAAGGAGTCAGTGAGATTTCAATACCAGCACTGCACATCACCCCCCCCCCCCCCCGTCCTTTTCGTTGTGTAGCAATAATAATAGAGAAAGGGGAGTAGCGCTCTGCCAAAGCCCGTATTTTTTTTTTAATAGTCTAGGTGTGTTATTTCTTTTTGTACATCAGGCCATGAATTCGTAGGGAATGGGCTCCAGCAGCTCAGGCTCCTTCCCGTTAGTCCTCGCGAAGTGTGCTTCTCTGGGTTCGCTTGAGCTGAACCCAGGTGCCCTTCTCTTTGTCTTCCTTTTCCTTCTGGTCGTTCTCCTTCACCCGCTTCAGAAAGCTGTCTCTGCTCTTCGAGTGCTTGGTGTGTTCAATCCGCACATTAATTCTCTTGGCAAGAATCTTGCCCTTAACTCGCTTGTTTACAATGATGCCCACAGCATGCTGGGTGACATTGTAGACTCTTCCGGTTTTGCCGTGGTAACATTTATGGGGCATTCCTTTTTGAACAGTGCCCATTCCCTTGATGTCTATAATATCGCCCTTCTTGTAGATTCGTGGCCAAAGGAACAACTCCATGTTTCCTAAAGGGCCTAGAGAACATATAGCGAGTGCCCCTCCTCTTTCCCTTTGTGTTTGTCATTTTGGCGAGTTACTGAAAGATGGCTACCGCGCCCGAAAGGCCCAAAGCCCATATTTTACCATGCCTTATATCATGATTTACAGTCAGTCTGACTCCTGTAAATCAGGCCATCTTTGAATTCAGAGATCTGTGTGTGTGCTGTGATTAAAGGCATACACACACCACAGCCCAGCTGAGACTGCAATTTCTTGTTAGCTCTGGGTAAGTGACAATGGCTCTGTGTTGTGAATCTCTGTGAATCCAGACTATGTTATGTCCTTCAGTGACATGAGTTTGAAGCATCAAGCACCCATCCCTATACTCCCTGAGGTCTCTGAAGTCACGGTGCATCCTTAAAGGCTTAGAAAGCTTTTCCCTGGTTCACCTTTGTGTGTGTGTGTGTGTGTGTGTGTGTGTGTGTGTTTTGCTCTATCTAGGAGAAGCACCATAGCAGTTGCATAGTGACTGAGAAATTTGATTTTTAGGAAATGATTTTTCATATCTGTGAGTGGTCTCTCCATAGCCACTCATCTTTTCTTAAACTTGAGTATAGGAATGAATGAATGATCCCTCCCTCCCTCCCTCCCTCCCTCTCCGTTCATGGGAACGAGTGTCTGGTCTTGCATTGAGGGCTCCCCAGTTCTCAGCATCTCCAGCCCAACCTGTCACAAGCTGATCACACATTTGCAAACTTGGGATATATTCTGCTGAATTTTTGGGATAATGAATTTCATCAACTATGGGACTAACTTTGTTCTGACAGGACACTCACTCACAATCTCTCCTCATCACACCCACATAGTGTAACAACTTTGTGGTTCCTCCATAATGTGCTTATTTCTGTCAGGGAACTGAAAGCCAGCCGGCCGGCCAGCCAGCCAGCCAGCCAGCCAACACTATCTTTCCTTGTTTCTCAGTTTGTTCTTATATTCTGTCTCCCCCCCCCCCACGTTTAAAAAATTTATTTATTTTTATCTTATGTGCATTTGTGTTTTTGCCATGGCTCTCGGGCTCCTGGATTACAGACAGCTGTGAGCTGCCATGTAGATGCTGGGAATTGAACCTAAACTATCTCTTCAGCCCGACATGGAGCATCTCTCTCTATAGCCCTGCCTGGAAAACTTTCAGAGTTCACTCTGCCCCCTGAGTAAAGGTGTTATGCTTCCTTTTATTGTATACTTAGTGTTTATGTTTGTGTGTGTGTGTGTGAGAGAGAGAGAGATTCATTATGAAATAAAAGTCAGTCGACAACAGCAAATTTTGTATTTATTTGTTCATCCATCCACGTATTTGCTTACTTACATACTTACTCTATTTATTTATTTATTTATTTATTTACAGTGGAAGACTTAATTCAGTAAGAATGATCAGAAGGGTAGGTAGGGTATCCTTGGGAAAAGAGTAAGATATCACGATGACTTTCCCTTCCGAGGGGGAGCTTTCTGGGTAGACGTGAAACTGCAGTTTCAAGCGCCTGCTTTCCACAAGACCTTTTCCAAGGTCAGGCATTTCTTAGGTAAGCAAGGATCTCTTTGAGTTCCCTTTGAGGAACTCAACATTAACGTCTGACTGGTGCCTATTGTCAAGGCCAATGGGACACTCCTCAGCCCCTCCCTGACCTGACGTGACCTGAGAAGCCACACCCCACCCCAGTTCACAGGCCCCTCTTAATCTATCTAACTAACTAACTGTACAGCATAAAACGTGGAATCTCTTCTCAATGAAATGCTGTTGTCAGCCATTCGAAGACTTTATTCTCATCTCAGATCAGATGATCCTGTCCAGCAGGGATGTCTTCTTTCCATGTTTCTTCTTCTTTTGTATGTTGCAGTCAGTTCAGATGTGCTGGTATATGGTGAGAGAGAGAGAGAGAGAGAGAGAGAGAGAATTGCTTTTTATTTATTTGAAGAGTTTTAATGATTCAGCTATTTCCAGCCTTATTTACCAGCACCTTTATTATTACCAGCGAGCACCTTCCTCTGAAAACATTGGAACCCCCCATCTGTACATGTCATGCACGTGCGTGCGTGCGTGCGTATGTATGTATGTATGTGTGAGCGCGTGTGCATCCCATCTATCTATCTATCTATCTATCTATCTATCTATCTATCTATCCCTTCATCAATTTCCATTTTAGGAGCTGCTTTGCTGACACTCACCCAGAACCAGTGACATGGAGGCCACCATTTTCTTAGCCAGTGACAGTCAGGAGACAGACAGACAGAAAGAAAGAAAGAAAGAAAGAAAGAAAGAAAGGATGTACATTCCCAAAGAAAGAAAAAAATTGAGTAAATTGTAAAAAGTAAAAAAAAAAAATCAAGAAAGTAAGTAAATACATAAAAATAGACAAATAAAGAATGAATAAATAATAATTGAAACAGTCAATAAGTAAATAAGTGAGTCATGCTAAATCAGCAGATAAATAAACAGATATATGAAAGAAGATAAGAAAGTAAAGGAATGAATGAACAAGTAAGTAAAGGGGGGGTCATTTTTTAAAGAAGTAAGTAAATGAGATGGGCTGAACAGATAGATAAGTAAGCAAGCAAAGAAATACACAAGAAGCAAGCAATCGTGAAAAAAAAATGAGACACATCCATTCAATCCATAAAAGACAAAACATGGAAATAAACATGTAAACTGGTCGACCGACCCAC